ACAATCAATACCTGCTGATAAGAGAAGATAACTCTGCAATACGCAAAGACGGAATAGACAAAGAGTTAAGCAAAGCTGAAGGCGGAAGCGGGATAGACATAGTCATGTATAGATATAGTCATATAGTCATGTATGATGATTTATTGAAATGAAATTAAAAAAAGCATTAATATGACAGTTACCATTCATTTTGCAGGATGAACTTAATGATATCGTGGCAGTTTGGAACTCACCTCATACATGTATCAAACCATGATCGAAGAGTACCAAGTGGTCGTCCAAATCTGATGGCTTATACTCGTAATCCTCTGGGGTTCATTTGAAAAGCTATGTCCAATAACAGATGAAGAAATAGATCTGTGTGTACATTGTAGATGAAGTAACATTTCGATCCGTAATCCATGTGATGAAGACGTTTATGCAATGAGTATATAGATATTATGAGAAGATGGCAAATGGATCCAGCAAAAGATGTCCTCTCGGCAAATGCCCTTTTTTACATCCAAGACAGGAAATTGCAGTGTTGCTGTCATAAAAATGTACACTTCGTTCAGCTAGAATACAAATATTACCATTATTATCATTGTGAAGGCACGGTATGATTTCAGATAAGATACGGTCCCTTTTAGTTGTTTTCAGCTCGCATGCATGGCCGGCAAACTTGACTTTCACAGGAGCAAGTTTTTATAATAACCATGACAAAACACCCTTCATAATAATACAGTTCGATACTTTTTATTAGCTCACCTGGTCCGAAGGACCAAGGTGAGCTTATGCCATACCGTGGCGTCCGTCGTCCGTCCGTCGTCCGTCCGTACGTCAACAATTTCTTTAAATGACTTTTTCTTCTTAACCACTGATTGGAATTCAATTAAATTTGACTGGAAGCATCCCTAGGTGGTGGGGATTCAAAATTGTACAAATGGTGGGGCTGCCCCCCCAGGGGGCTGAGAAGCGGGGCCAAAAGGGGTCAATTTGGCTATATTGCTACAAACAACTTCTTCTGTAGAACTATACACTTGATATCGATCATATGTGATCAAAAGCATTCATGGGAGTCAGGGATTCAAAATTGTATAAATGTTCGGGCTGACCCCCCTGGCTAGGGGGTGGGGCCAAAAAATGTCTATTACTTTGAAATGGTTGAGATCCCCACCATATAACCATATATACAATTGCTGAGTATAAAGAAAATAATGCACATTTGCTTCTACGATGACCCTAGGGTCTGGCCCCACCCTTGGAGTCATAGTCTCTTGGGTATGACTTTGAAACGGTTGAAATCCCCACCCCAAAACTATATATGCAAATGCTGGGCATAAAGAGACGATTGTAGTCAAGATATTAGAATATACCCTGAGGTCTGACCTAACCCCTCGGGACCTAGTTTCTTAGTCACAGCTTGGAAACAGTTGAGATCCCCACCCTATAACCATATAAACAATTGCTGAGTATAAACAGATGAATGCACATATGCTTCCAGGATGGCCTTGGGGTCTGCCCCACCCTTGCAGACGTTACCCTCGGGTCATAACTTTGAAACGGTTTAGATTCCCACCCCAAAACTATAAATACAAATGCTGAGCAAAAAGAGACAAATGCAGTCATGATATTAGAATTGATCCTGGGGTCTGGCCACAACCCTAGGAATCTAGTTTCTGAGTCACAGCAGTGAAACAGTTGAGATCCCCACCCCATAACCATACATTAACTTGGTGGGCATGAAAAATCCAATACAGATATGCTACAAGTATTGGCCTTTGGGTCTGGCATATTCCCTTAATGGATCTCATTTGGGGAATATTTTGCCATGATTGCTTAGATATCCAGGTGGGCGATACAGGCTCTCTGGGCCTCTTGTATATGTACATATTTGATGCCAAGATATTGACAAGAACCAAGGACTTGTCTTTAATTATTAACAAATAAAGCCTTAATAGTATGGTTATACGTTTTAGTTTTAATTGCTGTTTGAGCATATGCAGCATATTTTATATAGCTCTTTATTAGTAAAAAAACCACTATCCATATGTATCATATGTATCTTAACATAGTCAAATTCAGGTTGTGTCCATTGCACAAACAATGATCGAAATTGCCCAAGTATCTCCTTAAATATTGTCTTTTTGGTATCATTGCTGGTGACATTAATTACACACCGTTATAACGAAAAATTTTGTAAATTCTATGGAAGCAAAACAATTATTTCCCAATGGCTGATTTTCTCACAAATCATCACAATGAATGCGACATCGTGTTGTTACCATGGTATATTTGATTTACATGACTATCCGTAAGTAAATCGATAAGACAAGATCACCAGTCGATACCACATCTGTCATTTGAACATATATACGACTACCGAATAATAAGAAAGCATACATTATACTCGGAATGACCTCGTATTAAATAAATGATGTCTTAATTAAATTCCATTTATCCGTGCATGGAAGTAAATTTTACCTTTGACCTTGGTGAAAGTTGGTAAAAAAAATCCACCATATGATTTCACCAAGTCCGACCAGACATTCTATTTCGAGTAAAACCATTTTCTAATGAGGTTTATACAGGTAGGTGGTTTTAAGAAGTATATACATAGTTTCTATAATGAACACACAGTTACGTAACATAAATAAAATTCACTATATCAGTAAAAGAAACATTTTTTTATGATACATGTCGTATAAGAATAGTTTAGTTTCTAAAATATATATCTAAAGTGGCATGATGTTGACATATAGCGTATGGTTGAACTTGCGTTGATTTTAGTTTGAAACCTATAGGCTGTCTAGATTATTATTCCATAGAAAGTGAGGAATGCAGTCCATATAATAAAATTTTCTGATACGAGTTTGATTGGACATTTCGTATAACACTTCATAGTCCAAATGTCTAACTATCCCTGTATGTAGTAGAGTACACTAGCTAAACTCATCAAATACGAATACATTCTTAATGTACATGGATTCATCAATATCAAAAATATCCCACATTTTCCTTATGTCCATTTTACACAGACAGTACAAAGCTATTCAAAATTGTTGATATATTAACACTGGCATACATTTTATACTGGTATTTATGAAAATAATCATGTAGTTTCTATAATGTATGGGTATATTTTCTGGCATTTGCATTATTCGGTTTTGTACAGATATTATGGAAATCCAAGTTAATTTCATATGATTGAATCATTTAGCGAAAAACGTATTATCTTTTTCATACAAAGCTTGTCAAGTGAAAGTATAGAATTAAGACGAACCAATGTCACCAGTTGCACTGAATTAGTATTACTATGTGAAACGTGAACTGAGTTATATATATACTGTTGATTGTGTTTGCTTTTTGGTTTGGTTTAGTATTGTTTAACGTCCTATACTCAGCTATGGTCATTTAAGGACAGCCTCCCCTGTGTGCAAGATGCATGCGTGTAGTGTGCGATATGTTCGTGTTTGTCACCTTGTGATAGCGCGGAACTGATGCCGACTTTATAGTGCTACCTCACTGAAACATGCTGCCGAAGCCACCCAGCAGGACACCACACCCGGTCACATTAAACTGACAACGGGCGAAGCATTCGTCTCACTCCTAAATTGCTGAGCGTTAAGCAGGAGTAGAAACTCTCGCCCAGGGGACAGAACCCAAGGCCTTCCTTACAGGGGCGAACGCTCAACTAAAGGCCAAAAGTGAGGCATTGTCAAGGGAGACATTAGGAAGAAGAAAGTTGTTTAGAAAGATTTAGCCTCTTACGATCATGCAATGGGGACAGCAGGTACAATGTGTACGCCCTACCTGCAGGGACTGTTGATTCTATTCTATCATAAACATTAAAAAAAGTAAAACATAGTCAATGGAAATAGAAAATGGAAATTGAGGTTTACCTAAAAATATGTAATACAAAGTGACCCCCTCATATAAAGTTTTATTCAAATCACTTTCCTTAACTAAAATGTTTCCTTACCTGAAAATCGACAAGGAATTCCAAAGATAGTTTTTCTAAAAAATGTGTTTCATGATCGCTCCTTAACTTAACAAAGGAGCTCTTAAAATTTAAGGAACGTTCATGAAACCGGGGCCCTGCTGATAATGTAATCATTAGAATAGCTTTAGGCGTCTCGTGTGGTTCCCAATGTATCTTGAAATCTCATGAGACAGAACGTATTACCCAAACATTGTGCCCATAAAAAACATGTCAGTACAATGATTTCTCTAGTTTGATTAGGTTTGAAGGAATTTTATGACTGCAAGTACTCAAGCTATCTTAACTGTTTCACCACAGAAGGGAAAATATTGTAGTGTGTATGTGTTGATGGCATGCCTAATGCCATCATTAACTACGGCTTAACATTCAGACTCAACAAACACCATCTTGTTCCATGTGCATGGTTTTAATAATACTTCCGGTTGGTCCATATTACAGAATAGCAATCCAGTGGGTAATATTACGGAATGGTACAAAGTAGCGGACTGGATATTACATCCCTCCTTTTCTATGGAATAGAAATATATAACATTATATAATATAATTGTTACTTTCAAAAATTATATCAGTTTCTTTTAATATTCTTACTGTTATAATTATCTTTATAAATTGTTAACTTTGTCAAAGTTTGTTTTCTGAATTGTCCAATAATAAAATACTTTGATCACAACCAATATTGTCACTGTTCTGTTTTACTTGAAAAGTCTGTCTCTTAGTTCCAATCGTTTTTTATGTTAATTGTTCGTAATCGTCAATATAGAGTATTTTGTCGTTTAAATACAAACTACATTGTTCGATATAATAAACGCTGTCACGAAAACTTGTCGCGATATAACGATCATGCGAAACCGTACACAACGTCATTTTAAACATAAAAATTAAACTAATAACTCAACTAAACGAATCATTTTGATCCATTAGAGACCTGTGGGGATTATTATGCCCCAAACACAGCTAGGTCTGTTACAAATATTATAAATGTATCTGTGGGGAATATTGTGCCCCAAAGTAAGTAACACTAACACTCATAGTCTCGGAATCGCAACGGTTGCCTGGTTACCCTACGTTCTCTGGTTTTCGACACACTGGGTAATGGCAACGGAGTAGTCGGTTTGTTCGCGATCGCCTCATGACTCGGTTTTGTTGGAGTATTCGGCTTAACGGGACTTGTGGTTTGTGGCGTATCTACTATCCAAGGTGTCTCCTCCAGTTCCTCCACTTCATCGTCAAAGGACGCACTAGGATGCTGAGAGTCAATCTTTTTAAACCTTGATATGTTCCTTGTCACATTTCCTGTGACTGTGACCATCGGTCCTTTTGTGTTGGTCACTGTACGAAGTCTAGGGTCGTATATTGTCGACAATTTGTTTCCCTTGAAGTCTCTTTTTAACATCACAGTGTCTCCCTTGACTAACGTTTTCTCGCGAGCACGATTCTTACTGTCGGCGTAAGATTTCATACGGAACTTCGCATCGCTGTCACTTCTCCTCACCTGCTCATCAGTGACAGGGCCAACCGTCCCTGTGTTCTTGATCACCGGTAACTTGGTGTTCGGTTCGCGACCAAATATCACACGATACGGAGTAAATCCTGTTGATGTGTGGGGGGTTGCTCTGTATTGTCGTAGAAATTGAAACATCTCCTGCTTCCAGTTTTTTCCCTCGACATGTGCTGCACGTATAACTTTCATGAGCGGCTTATTAAAGCTCTCGGCCTGCGCGTTTGCTCTGGGCCATCGCGGTGTGACTCGTCGGTGTTCGAAACCCATGTTCTGGGCGTAGTTGGCAAATGCGTATGAATTAAACGGACTGCCGTTATCGCTTTTGATTATTGTAGGTGTTCCGAAAGTGCTAAGGATTCTGTCTAGAACCGGTATACTGGCATTCGCGGATACAGACTTCACGATCTCTACAACTGGGTATCTCGAATACTCGTCTATAACTACAAACAGGTAGTCTCCGGAGGGTAATGGACCACAAAAGTCTATGCTTAGACTTTCTCACGGACCAGTGGGCAGCTCGGACATATTGAGCGGTACCCTACTTATCGGTTCCGGAGTCATGGACTGACACGGTATACAATCCTGTATAACTTTCTCGACGCGATTGTCTATCCCAGGGAACCAGACTTTCGACCTTATGAATGACTTGGTTCGCGTAATACCTTGATGACCTTCGTTGGCCAAACACACGGCTCGGTTTCTGAGATTTGCTGGGAGTACGATCCTACTATCTCGCAGCAGTACATTATCGGAATGTACAGTAAGTTCATCTTTGACACTCCTCAGGGCGGTCAATTCTTCCATGTCGACGATGTCGTCGTGATTCTCCATGGCTTTTAACATTTACCATTTCCCACTCCTCACAAGCTCGATCGCTGTACAAAGGGTTTTGTCTTAAGATGTGCCTCTTTTCACGTCGTCTAATGTGATCGCCCCTGGGAGAGATTCCGACGCTATAAAGTTTGCATAGCTCTCTGCAATCTCCTGCTCTCGCGATTCACTGGCCTTGGAGGTTATGGGGTGTCGAGACATGTAGTCTGCAATGTTCTTGTCCCCTGGTATATATTTGATCGTATATTTGTACGGTTGTAACCGAAGTCCCCATCGTTCTATCCGCAACGGTGGTTTGGTTTTCTCCCATATACGTTCAAGGGGTTTATGATCCGTGATCACTGTGAAGTGTGACAAACCTCTCAAGTACATATCAAAGTGTTCGCATGCCCAGAGAACAGCTAACGCTTCACNTCGCTGAATACAACACCGAATAATGTAATGCTGTCTTTCCTGAATTCGCACTTTCTCCCATTTAGAGTCAAACCAGAGTTACTTCTGAAGCACCTGTCTAAGAACTGCATCGTGTTCCACTCTCGATCGACCGAATATCAAAATGTCATCAGAAATGTTCTTTGCACCGTCGATGCCTTGTATAACTTGTCTGATAGTCTCTTGGAATACCTCAGACGCGGAAGATATACCGAAGTTTAAACGTTTGTACTGGTATATTCCGACGTGTGTGCTGAAAGTAGTTATGTACCTTGATTTTGGGTCGAGTTCCAGCTGGTGATACCCACTACGTAAATCGAGCTTACTGAATACAGTGGCGCCGTTTAGATCATGTATAAGCTCATCCATGGTAGGTAAGACATGGCGTTCACGCTGAATAGCCTTGTTAGCTTCTCGCATATCCACACATAGCCGAATTTCGTCCGGGTCCTTTTTTGGCGGTGTGACTATCGGGGAAATCCAGGGTGTTGGTGTACCCTCCACCTTTTCTATGATGTCACCCTCAACTAACTTGTCAATCTCCTTCTTGACTTTGTCCCGGAGATGAAATGGTGTACGACGATGTCGTTGAGCGACCGGCTGTATTTTGGGGTCAATGTGTAATTTCACCAGTGTCCCTCTCAATTTCCCAATACCTTTGAAGATTCCAGGGAACTCTGTCTCCACTTGTTTATCAACATCCTCTGCGATTTCACTCACAACATGGATCAGTGACAGATTACGGGCTGATGGATACCCTAGGATGGATCCGTACCTATGTCCCTTCACAACATAGAATGTCAAAGTGTCAAACTGTTTGTTCGTTTCTACACCAAGATCACACTTTCCCAGGACTGATAACGGTTTACCACCACCGTACGGTATCAGCCTGTTACTAGCACGGGTGATAGGCGGCCTACCCATACACTCGTATGCTGTTTCGTCAAGTATATTGACTGAGGAACCGCTGTCTAACAATACTCTCAGTGGTCTGTTGTTCACTTTTAGAGTGAAGTTGGGAGCCTCGTTTACAAATCTCACCTGTTCGGAATTTGTCAAAGTCTCCTTTATTCCATAACAGTAACGGTCATCGTCGTCCGTCTCGCCATCTTGGTATCGGGCATCATAACTAACCGATTGACCATGGCCAGTGTCCTGTTGAACAGCTTTCACATTTCGATTCTGGCCCTTGTGAGTAGGCTTGTTGACACGGGATCGACACATTTTCATATAGTGGTTACTTTTACCACATGAATGACAAGTCTGGCCTTTAGGGGGACAGTCTCCATGGTGAGGGCATGATCCTCCACATTTCATACACTTTTTATCGGACTCACCTTGTTTGGATGTACCACGCTTGAAGTTGGACGATCTGTGTTGTTTTCTTTTAAACGGTTTGTGTTCGGACTGTGCACGACCAACCGCGTTAACACTCGCACTTTGGTCCCGTTCCATTGCTGTGGCTTGGACATCGGATAACTCTAGTGTTCTACCGAGTATTATAATTCCATTTAAGTCTTTGTCAGGCTCGCGGAGTGCCCTTCTCCGGAGTCTGTTGGACTTACAGTGCTGGATGACCTGTGACAGAATCTCCTTATTCGTGTCTGCAAATCCACAATCCTTCGCTAGTCGTCGTAATTCGGTGACATACTCGTCAAGAGTTTGCGATTCTGACTGTTTATAGCTTCTGAAGGTGTATAATTCCATTTGTTGATTTTTCTTGGGTTTGAAGTATGTCGTGAGCACCTGTTTGGTGGCTCCATATGACGGCTCGGTTTCTCCTTTTTCGGCCTCATATATGTCATACACACGTTCACCTGCATAGTGAAGCAGGAGTGTTCTTTTTCTATCATTTTCATCCTCGTCCGTAATGTCCAGAGCCACGAGCAGATTCTCTAAACGCCCTATCCACCGATCCCATCTTGGGCCAGCGTTACTTTTGTCGCTTTCGGTATCGAACGAAGGAAATATTGGTAGGGATGTCATTCTGATCCCGTCCTCGTCGCCAAAATGTAGTGTTTATGTGTTGATGGCATGCCTAATGCCATCATTAACTACGGCTTAACATTCAGACTCAACAAACACCATCTTGTTCCATGTGCATGGTTTTAATAATACTTCCGGTTGGTCCATATTACAGAATAGCAATCCAGTGGGTAATATTACGGAATGGTACAAAGTAGCGGACTGGATATTACAAATATCTTCTGTATAAGAAGTTCTGAAATTGTCGAGGGTTTTATTGGTTTTTGTTTTAAGCGATACAGGGACAGAGATAATAAAATCATCTTTCGATTTGTGAAAAGAAACTGTATGGATACTCCCTTTTACACAAGAAAACAACAAACTGGTCAAAGACTGCATAAGGACTCCGAGATTGCCCGTCTCTGCAATATGCAGCAGCAATAATAGAAATTATTTTAACAAATTTTAATCTATTGATCTACCATAGGGATTCAGGAAAGATAATACAAGAAGAGAATATCGAAGTGTCAACAAATCATAATCAATAAAAACTAGGGCAAACCATTGTAACCTGGACTAGCATCGTTGATGTCAAGAATGGAACAAACACAATATATACACTATATACATAAGTTTATAACACTATTTATACACACACATATATATACTTATTGTACAACTGTCTCACATCTATCATACACATACACATTCATATATGCAGATTGAACAAAATACAAATAATAGGGTACTGCACAACAGCTCTAGACAGCTTAATTGATCCTGGGGGTAACATCTTTGACAGTTCATCTTGCTTACACAGGACTACGTCAATACATGTATACAGTTGCCCGCATAGGCCATCTTTTAAATAGCTGCCCATATAGGACTGGTCACTATGGTTACTTGTGTATGCTATAGTTCACCAATGTCTATCTGCCCTCACACCATATATACCATATATACAACTATCAAGAATTAATACAATCCGTATCAAGCTTATACTCATAAAACTTGCTAAATCAACTGCACTCAAGTTAGACTCAAAGTAATTACCAAAAGATACCTGTGTCATTTGCCGATGAAATTGAACAGATTAACATCGTCTGTGCGTATGAATACATATTTTCAGGTTTTGCTAAGGGAGATAACTATTTCCATATTTAAAGAGGTATGGCGGAAAACTGCCCGTATTTCCCTAAGTCGGCATTTATGAAAACGGGGAAAAAAATAAGGAGTAAAACATTTCGGGTAACAAAAATGCATACAAAAGATACAAAACCAATTGAATATGAATTTTTAAACTGCTGAGAAATAAGGTATTGCTAATATGATACTGCAAATATAGCCATATACACGATATCTATGAGAGTGATGGGGTTTCCCGGACTTAAAAAATACTTTCAACACTTTCCCATCCGAGGTCCAACTTTTGAATAAACTATTTGTGACCGTGATGTAATTTCCAAAAACAAATCGTACAACGGAAAAGTGGTCCTCCTTTGGGAAAGTGCTCAAAATAATGAAAAACGAGGGTGATCAAGTTTCTCTAAACTGCGACCGGTGTTTCTCGGGTTAAATAAGTTTGTAATTGCCGATATCTATATGTTCTATGTAGCCGAATGTGTAACGCAGTTTACTTGCGACTAGAAAATAAACGGTGCAGGTTCGAATCCTCCTTCAGTTATATATTTTTTTTTTAAATATTTAGACATGTGACCAGTTTCCTTAATAAGGCAATAATGTTTTTTTTAAAATCGATGGACAATTTTGTTTTCATTTTAATACCATACCTATTGATTTATCAGTTGTGTTAGTAATAATTTCTTTACTATTTAGTGCGACATACTTCTATCGAAGCATATCAACAAATCCCTGTACACGTGTACAGTACAGCTATGTAGGTAACACTATTTTTAATGAAATTTGTGAATTGTTTTACCCTCCAACTGGCAATAGTAATTATATCAAGTGCTTAAACACCAACAAATAATGCCGAAATACCAAATATGTGGTCTGTTTACAATAATCTATTCTTAGATACGGGATTCCGATATTGCTACCTGTATAAAAATACCTGAGGACGCATCATAACAGTGCACGATTGGACGTAACATAGCTTTGGGGAAATAGGCATAACAACCCGCCATATCTCTTTACATTTTTATTGAAGCAACACAAGAAATTGATTAAGCAACCAAAAACAATCAATCAGCAAAATATTATCAGATGTTGCTAGCGGTAGAGACAATTCATGTACTGCCCTAGAAATTATCCATCCCATCCAACTACCCATTCTGCCTCTTGTGTCGGTGTCAACCCCCGGTACATCCATGTGGTCACGTCATATATGAAATGCAGTCGAACAGCCAACTGCCATGTCAAATTGTTTCGTCCATTCAATTACTGAAGCTTCAAATTCAAGAAGATATATAACCTCGAAATTTAGCGACTCTCATGATCAACTTCGAGCTAGTAAAAAGATAGCTATAATAGACTCGCAGCTGAGCCTGCGCACCGCGTCTAGACATTATTCTTTCGCAATGACGTGTCAGAAAATTGAACTGTTCAATACGTAGACTTGCACAAGCCCCAAATCAGCACAAGCCCCAAATCAGGAACAAAATGTCAGAATGTACTTTTATTAATTAAAGTTCAGCACTAGTGACAACTATCTAGATTCATAGTATCTAAGCAATACCTGACAATGGCTTCAAATGGCATATTTTGGCAGGTTTAGTGACATATATAAAAGCGCTACAAGCTTCTGCTTTTGATAACTGGAAGTGTACAAGCCTTACCGGTGAAGCGGTTCGGGAACACCCCCAGACTTTTGACCCCATATAAATCCGCCATCACATATTAAAATCAACTAAAACATTATTTCAAACTTAAAATATATGTAGATTTCATTCAATTAAAAAATGTCGACACATATAAAACACTTGACGATTGTGGCTGATTAAGTTGTGTGAGTCCTTAAAACCGGATCCACATAAAATCGTTATTATTATAGATATGATAAATAATTACAAAATTGATTATGCAATGTAGAACAAAATTATATACTGACAATAATTGAATTTATACTGAATCTATAGAAAATGTGGTTGATACTGTTGACATATACTAAAGGTATATAAGCTATTGTTGGGACTGTGGCAACTATGATGAAAGAAAAGATTTACATGTATACCCATGAAAGAGTACAAAGCCAGGTGTTCAGGAAGGGTAAGCGTCTTCTGCTTCATCGGTGAAACCCACCATGTAAATTTAAGTCGAAACGAAGTAATGTCACGTCCTCACAACGAGAACCCGATTAGTTACAACAAACCACAAGGCATTCTAATGAGTATACAAACAATATCATTTGCGACATGTACAAATGTAAACACCGTAGATGGGGGAGCAGAGATGTTGCTATCGAGAAAGGGCAAGTTCACGGTAGGAAAGTGAAATCCTTCCGTTTATCATACAGCTTAAAAGTCTGCCGTCCCTTTTGGTCATGTCGCAAGTGAAGATTGCAATAAGCGGCTGAAGTTGAAGAGTCTGTGGTATCCTTGATTTCAAGCACTGGAGGGTATATAGGAACGATGTGGTCAATGGATTTCTTGTTATTCATAAACAGTTCATCGTCGATATATATCTTAATTTGAAATTGAAGTGTTTTTTTGTCATGTCGCAAGTATTATCTAATCAGACACGTGGTTATAAAGATGAGGTACAATAATACAATGTATGATTAGTTCACGATGACCTTCACTCTGTGTAAAATGTCAATACATCACAAAACGTTTACAAAATTGCTCATACCAGATATTTTGAGTGCATTGCACGATATTTTGGTTCTCTATGACTTTCTCTTCCTGTACATGTACATCACCATATTTAGTGGCAGTTGAGAAAGCATAAAGTTGAAATTCCCAGACAAATATGCGCGGGAGATTGGTGATGTGATATGTCGAGGTCCGAAATATGGACTTGGTAAAAAAGCTAGGTGTCTGTGAGATTTCTGAAATATTGCCTGAACCTTTCCGGGGTCTAATGACTAGGGTGAGTGGCATTGATCGGGGGCAGATTTGCACCAATACTACGTAACGGGGTTGAATAGGATCGTGCTGATTTCTCTCCCTCGTAATATCGGTGTATCGCAATCTGCATTCACCATATAGTCAAAGGTGACCAGTGCTAAAAAATATCTCAAAAACCTGACAGAGACCACTTATAGAGTGGAAGTTTAGGTGATACATGTACACCCGTTACAATATTTAGTGTCATCTATTCTATCAAAACTTTGACGAGATTTGTGTCTCCAATGTCAATATGGGCGGGGCAGTTTACCCTAACCGACCCAGTTTCTCCAAATGTCACGGATAATTTATGGACAAAAGGAGGGAGTAAATTGCTGTCTGTTTTCATAAGTGTCACTGCGTTTTGTAATAAGTTTCATAAGATGTAAACAACACGGAGGGAAACGATACAATAATGCACAGTTCGTGAAATATACTAACACACTTACTATAGAGTATCAGCCAATGAGGAGGGGCGATGAGTTACAAATGAAAACGAATTTGAATGAGAAATGGCAAACCAAAGTGTTCCCGTTTATAAAATTATCAACTGTATGCAATAAATAGCACTAAATGTTTTGACATTTTGGTGCTAATCAATAACAAATAATGGATCAATAGCTTCTTTGAGTAGATCTTCATATCTGCCTTGTTAGTTATGTCAAGTTCGCGATACTTACGTAATGTATGCTTCCCGTTGATCGGTAGGAATTGGCTATCATATATTGGGGAAGAACTATTGAGAACAGAAAGATAACTCCTGGTAACTGATACAACCGGCGTTTTGTTAATTCGTGCGCACGGTTTGGTAACTCGTGCGCACGGTTTAGTAATCCGTGCACACGGTTTGTTAATTCGTGCGCACGGTTAAGTAATCCGTGCGCACGGTTTGGTAACTTGTGCGCACGGTTTCATAATCCGTGCGAACGGTTTGTTAATTCGTGCGCACGGTTTAGTAATCCGTGCACACGGTTTGGTAACTCGTGCGCACGGTTTCGTAATCCGTGTGCACGGTTTGTTAATTCGTGCGCACGGTTTAGTAATCCGTTCGCACGGTTTGGTAATCCGTGCGCACAGTTTGGCAACTCGTGCGCACGGATAAGTAAATGTTTTACCATGTCCCTTCGGGGGCTCCGTAGTACGTCCACTTGGGGAGAATTCAATATTTCTATTTGTATATATTCTTTGAAACCATACAACCTTGGCCAAAATTGTTCTTTAAATGTACAGTGACTTATAATTTCTCTCTAAAAATATACAGACACATGATACACATTTTTTCCCCCATCAATTGTTTTTTTATCTGTTGACATAGATCGTAATGTCAAATGTCCCGCAGTATCCAGACAACAAAAAACAAAGCGCATAGACTGTACAACTAAACTGACCTTTAGTTGCCGAAGGAAAGGTAAGATACTACCTATCGTATTTAGTTATTTTAAACGTTACGTTATTTATGATATTTTGTCACCGAAGTCTTCTCAGATAGACGTTATTTCCTATCATTGATTGACGATAGTGAGGAAACAGTTACTAATGTCTTCCTTTGTCTGATTTCACTTCAGTTCGGAAGCTACTACGAGTACATGAAGGAAACCTTGGATTCCACTTTAAGAACATTTGGAGTCCATTATGCATTAATAGAACCTTCACTGAAACGGAATATAAAAGAATGATAAAAAGGTACTCAGGAAAATTGATACGCATATCGTTAAAAGATTAACTCGAAATATTGTTTTAACAAGACTCATTATTTTTTGTGAAATCTTTCGGTTTATTTTTGTCTCCATTAATATTTCGAATTAACAAATATTGATTACAATAGTATGAAAACATTATTGATATTAAAGTGCATTGTGTCTTGTGTGCATTTCGTTGAATAAAATGATACTGATTAAATCTTTTTCGTTTATCAATTGATTTGTTACCTAATACACCTTAATAAGGGTATTTTCTTTCACCTTCTAGAAACAGACCAACAAACGTTGATACTACTACCACCTATCAGTACAGAGACGACTGTTCTCAAACTAGACTAAGCCGTCCAGGTAAACTTAATGCTATACTACACCTACAAATGTATGAAGAACCAGCTACGTATCAAACGCCTTTTTTCTTTTTTTCTTTTTTGCCCTTTTGTTTTTGCCAAAGAGTTTTTCTTCCGCCAATGAGACATATGTATGTTTTATCCTATTTAAACATATGCTATATTGTATCGAAACAAACCTCCACCAATTAACACAGAATGTAGGAAAGACATCCTCCACTGCTACCTAGTGGTAAAATGGTACCCTGTTCTATTATGTTACCGTTTTTGATGATGTTACTAACTGGTAAACCCTATATGGTATATAAGGCGAAATAGTAAATAGTAAAGTCTTTCCTATACTGCTACCGCCTGGTAGAAAGGATGTCTTGCCAATTCTGTTGCATAAGTAATTTCTATAATGTTACATGTACACTGACCCAACCGAACTCCCTTCCCCTAATTTAGAAATTGATTCAAGTATGTAGAAAGCCATGTTTATCCCCTCACCTATACTGTTACATCTGGTAAACAGGAAGATTTCCCTTTCGCAATTTTGCTGTGCCGCGACACCCCGTTTTTCTCAAAGTTTTTTTTACACTTTGCCTGCTCGTGGATAACACAACTACGTTTGTAAATTAATCTCCGTTATCTAGAGTTTGTATCTATCAATTCGACTGTGTTCACATTATCACGATGCAATCTTCTCCAAGATCTCAGACATAAAATGTAGATTTAACACTAGGCGGTCGTTCTTCAGTCCTTCATTCATCATTCTTGTCCATTACAGGCTTCTTTAGCAATAATGATCTAACATGTTCCGTCTTCAAACGCACTGGGAATTTTGCCTCAGCTAATGATTTTTTCATGACTGGGTTAATCAAAGGACGTAGTGCTTCAAGATATTGCTTTAGTAGGTTTGTGGGAAGCGTCCTAAGATTGTTGGTGAGAGCTTTGTCAATGGTTTCCATCAAATTTAACGTCAGCAGTCATGATCGGGACATCATTGTTAGCATAAGAGTTCACGTCGCCACTAGTTTACCTTATCATGCTGATTTTATTCAGAAAGCAATCACTGAATTTGTTTGCACAAGTGTTTTTCAGAAGGACAGCTTGGTAAGATGATTTCACCTTTATGATCCATAAAGTTTTAACTACTTATGGTCCTTGTCATGTTCTGGAATTCTCTCCACTGATGTGCCTTCTTGGATTGAATGAGAAGTGAGCTAACTTGTAAATCCAATGAAAGCCCACACTTTTTCGGTAAAATCACAAAACAAAAAGAAAGGTTCATCCTATCTGATACTTTTCGCTAGACATCTCTATACGAAATTAAGTACGAGAATCCTTCCATTTTGTAAAACGGAAAAATTATCCGAAGACTTTTCATGTGTGTCTTACCTTTGCTTGAACACTACTCACCAAATCAGTTAAAACACTCGCCATAATGCATACATTTGATCTGATGATATCCAAAAAATTTGCCCAAAGCGTCAAGACCGAGTCGAGAGTGCCATGAATATTTGCGTATGTCTCCGTTGAGCATTGACTGATCACAAAAGGCTTGACGCTGGCCAGGTTCAGACACTAACAATAACATTACATTTCTGAAAAGGATGATATGGCAGTTGAGCAATGTTATGCTATTACATAGGCTCATGACCAGATTTCTTATACAAACAATAGTATATATTTTTTTAGTATATATTCAATTATTTCACGTGAAAATATATACATTATTTAAAGGATCTTACACGAGTTTCCATTTCATATGAGATTTATGAAACGAGTCTAAGAAATTTTCAATTTAGCGAGCCTCTGGCGAGCTAAAATGAAACATTCGTGACGAGTTTCATACATTTCATATGAAATGGAAACGAGTGTCAGGTCCTTTTTATCACATAATCGAGATTTGTGGCATTTACTCGTGTAAAACGACAATTTGCATTCAACTTTGAAACGTAAAAAGACGCCACTTTGACTACATTGCGTAAGTCTGTGACGTCATGTATTTGTTTGTCATTGGCGTGACGTCACAATTGAATCAATTGAAACTTACAACCAATCACAGGGTTGATAGGTCATATTACATTGGTTAATACGCCAAACACATTACATTGGTTTATTCACTGGATAACACAGTACATTATGTGATAAAATGTGTTTTTATACATGGTGTAGTCTACGGTAGAATCCTAGAACAGATAAAAATGACTGACATATTCTGTAATATCAATCGTAATAAACCACGTTCCGAATGTTCCAGCTTTTCGGTGGTTACAGTTGTATCACCGATAAGAACGTCATAATGACCGATGACGTTGTACGCAACCTTTATCAGTTGTATCATAGATAAGGACGTCATAATGACCGATGATGTTGTACACAACCTTTATCAGTTGTTGCTGGGTGTGGCCACAATTTGGTCCCTAGAAAATAAAATGGGTCATCAAATCTTGGCCATGGCACTGACATTTTTAAAAATCAAATAAGAAAAAAAACAATCTCTAAGAATGTAATAACGGAATTTGTGCACTCGAGATTTCTAAAATTATGAAGTGACATGTTTTCTTAGGTTGGAGAGATCACATTAAATGTTTTGACTGGGATTTTCTAAAAAGGGGGCAAATTGCCCTGAAAATTTTACAAATCCTTTTGTGTGCACTGTCGTTATAACTGCTTTGTTTATATATATAGTATATGTTTATATATAGGAAATGACAAAAGAGTTTCTTAATACTGCCCTCGTACTTTCACCCATTTTAAATTCCCTGATGAACCTCTAAAGAGGTAAAAGTAGGAGTAGGACTAGGATGATTTTTGTCTTTGTTTCTATCTTTGAATACTCTCTACTACTGTACCTGGTCGGGTGGGAGTGCTCCCGTCCGCCATTTTGAGATGCAGAGATACCTTGGAGAATTTATAAACTTATTAATATTTTTGTTCATTTAGTTATTGTTTTTCGATTTAGACGAACCTCCACAAAATATTTCCATCGCCACCAGTTGCATGGATGAATGCGTTGAACATGAGAACATTACACTAACCTGTTCAGTTGTCGATGGCATACAATGGTCGGTCATTATATTGGAGACACAGGGAACGGATCTGAATACCACTGCTAACTGGACACATACGTATAATGCGCAGCTAAATGTTAGCGGAAGCGTCAGCCTAACCTTGTCACGTGATGATGACAACAAAATATTCACGTGCCGTGTCGAAAACCAAAATGACAGCATTGGTCAGCAGAACTTTACACTGAGAGTATTGTGTAAGCTTTTCTTTTCTTGTAAAATTAAACTTTAGAATAGTATGTTTCGATAGATGTCTTTTTTCTGTTTAGTCTTTAGTCTTTAATTTCTTAAATCAATTAACTGATATGAAGACAATCATTTTCTTTTTATTAAATGCTTCTAGAGGTAAACAGAAACAGACACCAATATTTTCTCACATAAGAGTTAATTTTGTTATGTCAACTAAACTAAAATGCTGGAAATATCGGTAAACAAGTATGAAATGATACTTTAATAGAAGGTTAACGTTTCGTTTCCCACGTGTAAAAGTGGAGTCATGATATTTGTTTTAATATCCTCCTAATCATTTGAATAATGAGGATTTCACACAACAAAGGATGGCATGACATTTTAAAATGTTCACTTTCAATAATAAATTGCAGTTCACTTTCTATGATCAATTGCGGTGATATAAAGGAATATGGGTGATACATTTTATAAATCATTTCAGATCGGCCTATTGTGGATGTTCCAAATAATGTTGAAGTCAACGAAACAGATGAGGTTATAATACAGTGTAACGTGTCGTCAAATACCCAAACAGGTGTGACATGGTCGGGACCAAATGGCAATGAGCTATCAACAGGAACGACCTTGAACATCAGTGATATAGGGCGTGCTGCCATTGGTAATTACACGTGCAGAGCTGAGAACGACATTGGCAACGATTTCGTCACATCTAGGATATTTATAAACGGTAATGTCAAAAGAAGAAGCAAAAAAAAAAAAAAAATGTGCAAGGTTCATGAGTGTTTACTTATAAAGTTTGTGTGTTTTGATATTCATAAAGTTACTGTTACTCTTTTTAATTTTGCGAATAATTATTTTCCAGATGGTGCTTTAACTAATAGTTTTCTATGTACTTAACGCGTGAATAAGTGGTCCTCAAAATCAATTAGTCCTACAGCATCGCTTTATAAACAAGAATTGCTGGATTTAAAACGTCACAGTTGAAGATTTCTTAGTCGCTATAAAGATGATCTCAAAATACTCTTGGATTGCAAATAAAGTAGTATGCATTGTGTTTATCAGTTGGTTCGAACTGTTCGACATTGACCAGTAACAACACAGAGAGGCATGCCCAAAGTGACGTATTTGTCAACAAGTAAAACACATGTACACCTGTACAAATGTTGTCTAGGTTTTNGTTAGGACTGTTTGTTATGATAGGATTAAAGACTTCACCGTGACCCTGTATGACCTTGTAGTATAAANAATAGTCTCGAAATGTTTATATTTTGTAGCACCTCCGAAAATGTGTCTTTATCTACATGGATTCACAGACCAACACCAAACTGTAACAATGAGATGTGCGGCCTCTGGAATCCCGACTCCGAATATCACCTGGTTTAAAGACTCTAAACGTATCAACTCAAATTCTTCCAAACACAGCCTTACATCTATGATCAGCCCTGCCAACCCGTACCTAGTGTTAAGCACACTGACAGTCTCTGATGTGGGAGAGGGTGACGTTGTGGGACACACATGTAGCATTGAAAACAAACACGGAAACATTCAGAAAACGTTCAGAATTCGTGAGTAATATATTCTATCACTTATTGCATATATGATTTTGTCATGGATAGTATAATTTCCTTCCAGCATCTGAAAATATGACTTCCTTTCAAAGCTAATAAACAGCTATTGGCATTCTCCTTTCTTATTTCTGGCATTAAGATTACCATATGACCTTGTAAGACCTTATTAATTTGGTTGGTTGACCATGACTTTTGTAAGAACTAGCTACTGTACGTCGATGGACCATTAAGACTACAATTAGTGACTCTGTGTGACTTCATGTCGTTATTTGGCATATAAAACCAACGTTACACTGTGTGACCTTGCTGTGTAAATGGGCCGTTACGACTACGTACCATGTGACGTTGATTGGCCGTTCTTGTATTGCTAAGACTAACGTGAGACCTTGTATGACCTGGTTGTGTTAATTGGTTGTTTATATTACCGTACAGTATATACCGGATATTTGGGATGCAACGATATATCGTGCGACGATATTATTCAATTATAGCCTTTATAAATCCAAGTATCGACCGAAGTTAAAGGCTACACTTGTTTTATTATTTTCAAAAGATTCATGTAAGCAATCTAAAAAAAAAAAAAAAAAAAAAAAAAAAAAAAAAAAAATCGGAAGCGGGACGGTGCATTGTTTGGAGACACGTCATAATTATATTTTTAGAAACTCCCAGTCCTTCAACGAAAATCACGCGCTCCAAGTCAATATCGGTTTTATCGGTGGACACGTGAAGCACTCCTGGCCAATTCTTTGTCGGGAATAATATGAAAAAATAATAAATCTGTTCCAACATGGCGAGTGACACCTCCAGGTCGGCATGCATGTTGAAGTGTGTGAAATGTTTAAGTCATGCCCATTGGGACAAAGTCTTCTTCCTGTTGTAATATTGCCACTTTGCTTCTACTGTAAATATAAATATCAAATGTTACATATCGTATCGTCATGTCAATGTATCGTTGTAGCTCTACCGGATATCAACGAGCCTTCAATACAAAATGCTCCTTGTACCTTCTATTACCTGGAGATATTAATGAAACTTTAAGACTATCGTATAATCGTGCTACCCTGTATGGCCTTGTAGTGATAATAGGCATTTAAACCTGCAGAGTGCCCGTTGAATGACCTGTTTAATGAAAGGCTGTAAAGACTACCGTGTGACCCTGTATGACCTTGTAGTATACATCGGCGTTTAGGGCTACAGTGTGCCAATTTTAGAACATGGTTGTATATAAATGTTGTCAGGACTACACCGTGACCCTGTATGACCTCTTACTATAAATGGACGATAACGACTACAGTGTGCCCATTTAAGGACTTGGTTGTAATGAACGGCTGTAAAGATTACACTGTGCCCCTGTATGACCTTGTAGTATAAATGAACGATTACGACTACCGTGTGCCCATTTTAGGACTGTTTGTAATGAAAGGATTAAAGACTTCACCGTGACCCTGTATGACCTTGTAGTATAAATGGACGATCACGGCTACAGTGTGCCCATTTTAGGACTTAGTTGTAATGAAAGGCTGTAAAGACTACCGTGTGACCCTATTTGACCATTATCTGTTAGAAGGACGTGATTAACACTGTGTGAACATTATGGCTTGAATGAGCTGACAGGTTACAATTGTATATAGACGTCCATCTGGCCTTATATGACATTGTTATGTTAATTGTCAATTAAGAATACATTGTGACCATGACCTTGTAGTATAAATGGACGATTCCGAATACAGTGAGCTTATTTTAGGACTTTTTTTAATGAAAGGATTAAAGACTACACTGTGACCCTGGATGACCTTGTAGTAAAAATGAACGAGTACGACTACAGTGTGCCCATTTTAGGGCTTTTTTGTATAGAAAGGCTGTAAAGACTACCGTGTGACCCTGTTTGACCATTATCTGTTAGAAGGACGTGATTAACACTGTGTGAACATTATGGCTTGAATGAGCTGACAGGTTACAATTGTATATAGACGTCCATCTGGCCTTATATGACATTGTTATGTTAATTGTCAATTAAGAATACATTGTGACCATGACCTTGTAGTATAAATGGACGACTACGAATACAGTGAGCTTATTTTAGGACGTTTTGTAATGAAAGGATTAAAGACTATACTGTGACCCTGTATGACCTTGTAGTATAAACAGACAATAACGACTACAGTGTTCCCATTTTAGGACTTGGTTGTAATGAAAGGCCGTAAAGACTACACTGTGACCCTGTATAACCTTGTAGTAAAAATGAACGACTACGACTACAGTGTGCCCATTTCAGGACTGTTTGTAATGAAAGGATTAAAGACTATACTGTGACCCTGTATGACCTTGTAGTAAAAGTGAACGATTACGACTACAGTGTGCCCAATTTAGGACTTGGTTGTAATGAAAGGCTGCAAAGACTACACTGTGACCCTGTATGACCTTGTAGTCTAAATGGACGATTACGACTACAGTGTGCCCGTTTTAGGACTTTGTTGTATTGAAAGGCTGTAAAGACTACCGTGTGACCCTGTTTGACCATTATCTGTTAGAAGGACGTGATTAACACTGTGTGAACATTATGGCTTGAATGAGCTGACAGGTTACAATTGTATATAGACGTCCATCTGGCCTTATATGACATTGTTATGTTAATTGTCAATTAAGAATACATTGTGACCATGACCTTGTAGTATAAATGGACGATTACGAATACAGTGTGCCCATTTAAGGACTTGGTTGTAATGAACGGCTGTAAAGATTACACTGTGACTCTATAGGACCTTGTAGTAAAAATGAACGATTACGACTCCAGTGTGCCCATTTTAGGACTTTTTGTAATGAAGGGATTAAAGACTACACTGTGACCCTGGATGACCTTGTAGTAAAAATGAACGATTACGACTACAGTGTTCCCATTTTAGGACTTGGTTGTAAAGAAAGGCTGTAAAGACTACACTGTGACCCTGTATGACCTGGTAGTATAAATGGACGATTACGAGTACAGTGAGCCCATTTTAGGACATGGTTGAATTTAAATGTTGTCAAGACTACACCGTGACCCTGTATTACCTTGTAGTATAAATGGACGATTACGCCTACAGTGTGCCCATTTTAGGACTTAGTTGTAATGAAAGGCTGTAAAGACTACCGTGTGACCCTATTTGACCATTATCTGTTAGAAGGACGTGATTAACACTGTGTGAACATTATGGCTTGAATGAGCTGACAGGTTACAATTGTATATAGACGTCCATCTGGCCTTATATGACATTGTTATGTTAATTGTCAATTAAGAATACATTGTGACCATGACCTTGTAGTATAAATGGACGATCACGACTACAGTGTGCCCATTTTAGGGCTTGGTTGTAATGAAAGGCTGTAAAGACTACCGTGTGACCCTATTTGACCATTATCTGTTAGAAGGACGTGATTAACACTGTGTGAACATTATGGCTTGAATGAGCTGACAGGTTACAATTGTATATAGACGTCCATCTGGCCTTATATGACATTGTTATGTTAATTGTCAATTAAGAATACATTGTGACCATGACCTTGTAGTATAAATGGACGATCACGGCTACAGTGTGCCCATTTTAGGACTTGGTCGTAATGAAAGGCTGTAAAGACTACACTGTGACCCTGTATGACCTCGTAGTAAAAATGAACGATTACGACTACAGTGTGCCCATTTTAGGACTTTTTTGTATTGAAAGGCTGTAAAGACTACCGTGTGACCCTGTTTGACCATTATCTGTTAGAAGGACGTGATTAACACTGTGTGAACATTATGGCTTGAATGAGCTGACAGGTTACAATTGTATATAGACGTCCATGTGGCCTTATATGACATTGTTATGTTAATTGTCAATTAAGAATACATTGTGACCACATACAACGTGTTGGTGCCGTGAAACCACGCATGCCTGATCCTGTCGTGTTTATGAGTTAATAAGACCACTATGTGACCTTGTACAACCGTGTCACGTGTATTGGCCAATCAGACTACTCATACGTGACCCTGTATGACCTTGATGTATCGGTAGGCCTTATATATTACAATTAGCCTATGGATTTTACACGCCAACTGAATCTATAAAACAATATGTCTATGTATATTGGTTATATCTACGTGTTCGGTTATCATTTGTGTAAGTGAAACAAGACATACAGACTTGTTGGGGTGATATCCTCAAATAGTATCCCGAGTTCACGTGTAGTAGAAAACTTGAAGGTAATTGTTCCGAAATTCTTAACAAGCTCTCTTTTGAAGGTAAGTCTATTTTAAGGTTTGATATCAAACGATGTTGCCATCAGTTGGTATACATGTATGATGTGAGATGCTTTGGAATATTTCTGTCTCTAATGCAACATGTTTATTGTTACAGGTCGGAAGTTAAACTGTAGATGTCGAAGACGTTACTTAAAGAATCGTGTTCCCGTAAATTACACGCAGGATGAGTTACAACAAGAAATGGAAAAAACAAGAGAAGAGCTGATAGTGAAAAACCCAACACAAAAAATTATGAAAAGAATATGTGCCAACGACAAACGTACAGCTGCAAAATATATTGGGGTGCTAGGCGTTGTTGTCATCGCTGGCGCACTCATATTGATCATTGGATTAGACCTTCATGGATATTTTTATAACATCAAGGCAAACGTTAAACCCAAGAAAAAAAAGAAGAACCAGAGCAAGAAAACAAATCTTGAGAAACAGAGAAACTCTTGTTCTGATGACAACCAGATCTTGAGATCTAATAAAATTGCACCGGTACCATACATCTTGAATCAATGCAATAAAAACAAACAGTCCTCTGAATCCCAGAACAATGAAATAACATCAGCATCGTGGGACAACCAGCAACCGACTTCATCACAGGACAACCAACAACCGACTTCATCACGGAGCAACAAACAACAACCTTCATCACGGAGCAACAAACAACCACCTTCATCACGGAGCAACAAACAATCACCTTCATCACGACACAACTAACAACAACCTTCATCACGGAGCAACTAACAACAACCTTCATCACGGAGCAACTAACAACAACCTTCATCACGGAGCAACAAACAATCACCTTTATCACGGAGCAACAAACAATCACCTTTATCACAATACAACTAACAACCGATTTCATTACAAGACAACCACGACCAACTTCATCACAAGACAACCAACAACCATGTTGATCATAATACAACCACCAACCATGTTCATCACAAGACAACCAACAACCGACTTAATCACAAGACAATCAGCAATTATTTGTATCACAGGACAATCAACAACCGACTTCATCACGGAGCAACCAACAACAACCTTTATCACGACACAACCAACAACCACCTTCATCACAAGACAACTAACAATTGACTTCATCACAAGACAACGAACAATCACGTTCATCACAAGACAGCCAACAACCATGTCCATCACAAGTCGGCCAAACATCACATTCATCACAAGACAACCACCGAAAACCTTCATCACAAGACAACGAACGATCACGTTCATCACAAGACAACCAACAATCACCTTCAACACAAGACAACAAAATATCACCTTCATCACAATACAACGAACAATCACCTTCATCACAAGACAACCAACAATCACCTTCAACACAAGGCAACGAAAAATCACGTTCATCACAAGACAACCAACAAAAACCTTCATCACAAGACAACCAAAAACTACCTTCATCGCAAGACAACCAACAATTACATTCATCACAAGACAACAAACAACAACCTTCATCACAAGACAACCAACAACCGATTTCATCACAACACAATCAACGACCACCTTCATCACAAGACAACCAACAACCACGTTCACCACAGGACAATCAACAACCACGTTCATCAGAAGACAACAAACAACCTCTTTCATCACGGGAAAATCAACAACCACCTTCATCAAAAGACAACCAACACCCAACTTCATCACATGACAACCAAAAATCACGTTCATCACAAGACAACCAACAATCATCTTCATCACAAGACATCCAACAACCACGTTCACCAAGGGACAACCAACAATCACGTTCATCACAAGACAACCAACACCCACCTTCAACATCTGACAACCTGCAACATCGTTTATAACAAAACTATCAAAACCCGACTTCATCACGGAAAAACCAAGAACCACCTTCATCTCACGACAACCAACACCCACATTCATCACATGACAACCAGTAACAACCTTCATCACAAGACAACCAACAACCGACTTAATCCCTGGAAAATCAACAACCACCTTCATCGCAAGACAACCAACAACTGACATCATAACAAGACAAACAACAACAACAACCTTCATCACAAGACAAAGAACAACCGACATCATCACAAGACAACCAACAACCACCTTTATCAAAAGACAACAAACAACCACCTTTATTACGAGGCACCCAACAACCATATATAGCATTAAAGGACAGCCAACAACTACTGTATCTATGTTACAGGGCAACAGACAACCATCTTAATCACATCACAGGGCAACAGACAACCATCTTAATCACATCACAGGGCAACAAACAACCATCTTAATCACACCACAGGGCAACAGACAACCATCTTAATCACATCACAGGGCAACCAACAACCATTTTAATCACATCACAGGGCAACCAACAACCATCTTAATCACATCACAGGGCAACAGACAACCATCTTAATCACATCACAAGGCAACCAACAACCATCTTAATAACATCACAGCGCAACCAACAACCATGTACATTTCAGGGCAGCCAATTACACACATCTAGATCACAGGGCAACTAACCACCAGATTGTGATATTATACAATTGTTTCATGGCTATTTGGGGAACAGTCAAAACTATCATCCCGGGGTAGGGGGAAGCCCTGTGGAACTGTTTGCCCGGGGCATTACCAAATAGATATTTATGTATCAATGCTGAGGTCAAATAAATGCTTGAACGGGGCTCTCAAGGGGAGATTTCTGAGCATCGAATTCGCGCCGGGTAACAGTTCCCTCTGACCGAGAAAACAGTTTTGACTGTTTCACCCCTACAGCCGAAATTGGACAAAAAAACAGAAACAGTCAAAAAAAAAGTGTGGGGGGGAGGGGTACTATTCGGTACATACAATAATTATTTACATTCTTACGTAAAGGATAACATTTGTGTAAGTAAATCTTACAAAAAATAGCAGAACACGGTAGAGTTGCGTTCAGTAGCCCATCAAAAATTGAGTACAGCCTCGTTTTCAAGCATTACATCATTATAATCTGAAATTGATTATTACTCTACTAATTCCTGTTTTCTGATACCGTAATTATTTTATAATAAATAATAAATTTAAGAGTTTCCGTTAACGCCATATACATTGTATTTACATTTCGACTGCAACCTACTATATGTCTGAGTACATGTTTGAAAGCAAAACATCTCGTGACGTAACACGTGGTTTACTTTTGACGTCATATATTAACCTTGTTAAATGAGAGTCTTATCGCTTCGCTTCGGGTTACATGGAGAATGCCCCTGCGTCAAACGACCAAATGACTACGGTTAACTATTGGTGCCATTTTTTTTTATTAAAAAAGGCTGTTACGCCAATGTCGTTTAAAGAACGACGCATATACAAGACGAAGTAAATTAATTAATTATTTAAGAACGGATAAATAAATGTGAACAATTGATCTTTAATAAAAATGTAAAATTATTGATTGAACGGCGTTTATTTAATTTGCAAGCCGGTATGAAAATTTAAAAAACCGCCGTTCAATCCCTATACATGTATATGGCATAATCTATACCTTCACACGTGCGTGATGTGTACATATATATAAAGTATTCAACGGTAAAGCACTTAATATCTATGTATACCGGAGTATTCTTTTAAATGTTTGTATTGCTTTTGTTTGTACACGAGAACGTCTAAACCTTTCGTTAAATCACAGCCTTTTCACTTGTACGTAAAACGGCTTATTTTCTTAATCACTACATATCCACGTGTTCTTGTGACCCTCTGAACTTTGACAATTTTGTATCACAGCAAATACTAGTTTACATGTACATGTGTAACCTTTTAAATTCTTCACAGCATACACATGTATACTAGCCCTCTCTAAAGTTTAGGACACATAAATGTGTATATCAAATACCGTAAATTTCACCTCGTCTAACACACGTGTATATCGAACTATTTAAATTACGACACACGTGTATTTCAAAACTTCTAAGTTGTCCCGCGACATAAATAAATGAATATCAAACCAAAACACAACCATGACATAAACACGAGAGAGTCAAACAATCCAATTTCGTACAACAACCTCGTACAGTGTACCTATCAAAGTCTTTCTATTATACCACGTCCTGTATACACGTACTGTGTTTCTATTACACCCTCTCAGTTATACCACGTCCTGTATACGCGTACAGTGAATCTATCAAACTCTCTCAATTAAACCATGTCCTGTAAACACGTACAGTGTACAGTGTATCTATTAAACCCTCTCAGTTATACCACTTCATGTATACACATACAGTGTACATTGTATTTAATAAACCCTCTCAGTTATACCACGTCCTGTATACACGTTCAGTGTACACTGTATTCATTAAACCATCTCAGTTATACCATGTCCTGTATACACGTACAGTATACAATGTATACATTAAACCCTCTCAGTTATACCGCGTCCTGTATACACGTACAATGTACAGTGATCTATTAAACCCTCTCAGTTATACCACGTCCTGTATACACGTACAGTGTACAGTGTATTTATTAAACCCTCTCAGTTATACCACGTCCTGTATACACATACAGTGTACAGTGTATTTATTAAACCCTCTACGTTATACCACGTCCTGTATACACGTACAATGTACAGTGTATATATTAAACCTTCTCAGTTATACCATGTCCTGTATACACGTACAGTGTACAGTGTATCTATTAAACCCTCTCAGTTATACCATGTCCTGTATACACATACAGTGTACAGTGTATTTATTAAACCCTCTCAGTTATACCATGTCCTGTATACACGTACAGTGTACAGTGTATCTATTAAACCCTCTCAGTTATACCACGTCCTGTATACACGTTCAGTGTACAATGTATTCACTAAGCCCTCTCAGTTATACCATGTCCTGTATACACGTACAGTGTACATTGTAT